AACAAAATGAAAAAAAAAAAAAGTACACACACACATGAGTTTACAGATTAGTTTAAATTGATAATGAAATGTGAAGTTTGTCCTAGTTTACATCTTAGAGAGGGGAGTGTACTTGTGTTTGTTTCATGTGCCTGAATATCTTAAGCCACTTTCTGCAAAAGCTGTTTCTTACAGCTGAAGTGCATTCTTTGAAAGGTGGTTATTTAAGTTTTAGACATTTGATAGACATGGCACATTTGGTCTGTTAACTCAGAGGCTCACTACAGAAATCTGTAATCAGTGCTGTGCATCTGTCTGCAGATAATGTGCCTCCTGCACACCAGGAGGGGAAAAAGCACCTTTTCTTGTGCTGAATTAGGCACCTATGAGGTAGACGATGGTGTCAGTGATTTTTGCAGAACATGTGCACAACCCTGAGGTATATTTAGTCTCAGCAGGTACGTTTAAGGGTATTTTGATCTATTTATAATGAATTCACAATGTATGCCTATAAATACCAGATGATTTAAAATTTTAAACCTGTTACATTGAAGTTCATCTTGAAGAAAGCATTAAGGTATGCATCGAGGTGATTTATTTTTAAACATAACACCTAACCTAACTTGGGGAAGTGAATGTGTAACTAGATATGAGCTGTATAAGAAGCATAATTGTGAATGGGTAGATTGCTTTCATATACTACAAGTATGTTTTAGTATTCTTTATTTCCTTATTATCAGATGTGTTTTTTTTTTTTTAAGTTTCAACGTTGTTGTAATTCTCAACCAGAAATTTAATACTTTCTAAAATATTTTTAAAATTTAGCTTGTGCTTTTGAATTGCAGAAGGGAATCATAATTTAATAAAATGCTCATTAGAAGGACCATTACAGATCCCAGACACTTGGGTTTGGTGACCCTTTTTCTTATATGACCCTAGAATAAACATTTGAAGGCAGCATAGGATGGCAGACAGTAGGAACACTGTTTCACTTAGCGGCATGTTTTTGAAACCTGCTCTATTACTGGGTGGTTGCCATTGTGGCAGAGCTTCCACTTCTGTTTATAAGCTGAGAGTCACTCTCAGAGGATGCTTTTTTCCTTTTAATCTGCTATGAATCAATACCCAGATGTTTAATTACTGTACTTATTAAATCATGAGGGCAAAAGAGTGTAGAATGGAAAAAAGTCTCTTGTATCTAGATACTTTAAATACAGGAGGCCCTTTAACTTAATTGCCTTTAGTCAACCACTGGATTTCAATTTGCATCAAGTATTTTAAATAATTTTGAATTTTAAAAAATGTATTGCAGTAGTGTGTCAGTACCTTACTGTTAAACTGAGTCAGATAAATCTTCAGTTCCTGGTTATTTGGGCAGTTGAATCATCATGGACTGTATAATGCAATCAGATTATTTTGTTTCTAGACATCCTTGAATTACACCAAAGAACATGAAATTTAGTTGTGGTTAAATTATTTATTTATTTCATGCATTCATTTTATTTCCCTTTAAGGTCTGGATGAGACTTCTTTGGGGAGCCTCTAAAAAAAACTCTTCACTGGGGGCCACGTGGGTCATTAGAAGCCTCCAGGCTCCTTCCCAGTGCCTAGAGGTGCTGTAGGAAACAGAGATCCAGCCAGGGGCTTCCCTAAGGCAGTGCGGCGCTGGCCCAGGGCATAACCAGACAGGCCCTAATTAAGTTAAAAAAAAAAAAAAGGCCTATATATTTATTTTAGAATCATGTCTTTCTGTATATTAACTTGGAGGATATCCATTAATATTTAGGATATAAGATTTGAGGTCAGCCATCTTCAAAAAAGAAAAACCAAAAAAAAAAAATTCTGACTTAAGAAAGTACAAGTAAACTATACATCTTTTTTTCATAAGTTTTAGGAACTAGTAACATGGCTTAGAAAGTATAATGGACTAAATGTTTTCAAAATGTAAGTTCCTGTGGAGAATTGTTTATATTTCGGGTGGGGGGACGGAGGGGAAACTATAGGTTTAAAATAGTATGTTTGTCAGCCAACTGATTTAAAAGGCCTTTAACTGTTTTTTTTTTTTAAACGCACTCTTCCCTTCCTATGAGGAAGAATTGAGGGGGGCACTTATTTCTGTAAAATCCCCAAATTGGTGTTGATGACTTTTGAGCTTGAATGTTTTCAGACCTGATTAAAACTTGGTTTATTCTAATTTCTGTATCATATCATCTGAGGTTTACGTGGTAACTAGTCTTATAACATGTATGTATCATTTTTTGTTGTTCATCTAAAGCTTTTTAATCCAAATAAAAATGGAGTTTGCAAAGTGATTTGGATTAACCAGGTTTGGTTGTTCTGTTAGTTGTGTCAGATGTTAGTTTCAAGCAGATTTAACTCCTGCAAGCCCTGATCTCATGCTGACACGGATGTGGCTAACAATTTTAAGAGAATAAAGCTCTACAGGTGGAGAAGAAAGGCAGTGTCCAGACCCCTGGTTCCGGGCTCAGGCCACTTTAACACAGCCAAATGTACTCAGACTGCAGCCTGAAGTGCCCCACACCACACCTCAGGCTGGCAGTCAAGGAATTCCTAACATGTCCCAGCATGGGCAGAAATGCAGGTTGAAGTTAAAATTGGAGAGTTACTGAGGGCAGAAAGTATCATAAAGCAGTGTAGCCCACTTCAAATAGCTTTTCTGTGGCCAGAAGAAACAGGTGGCCCAGGTTATCTTTAACATCTTTATAAGCTCTTAAAACATGACCACGCTTTTAGTAGAAAGTGTTGGTAAAATCAACCAACTGTTTTCCTCTAATATCACTTTGCAAATCCCTGTGGTTCTGTTCTCCTGGATTTAGGATAGTACTGGCATATGTGCCCCGGAGCATATTTTGAATAATCAGTTGCTGTATAGCTAGACATCCCATCTGAACACTGAGCAAATACTGCTATTACCCTGTTCCTTTTTTCTTCTTCTTCCTTTTAGGCAGAACGTCACTCTGTCACCCAGGCTGGAATGCAGTGGTGCGATCTCGGCTCACTGCAGCCTCCACCTCCCGGGTTCAAGCAGTTCTCATGCCACAGCCACCTGAGTAGCTGGGACTACAGGCATGTGCCATCATACCTGACTAATTTTTGTATTTTAGTAGAGACAGGGTTTCTCTATATTAACCAGGCTGGTTTAGAACTTCTGGCCTCAACTGATCTGCTGCCTCAATCCAAAGTGCTAGGATTATAGGTGTGAGCCACCACACCTGGCCTACTGTGTTCCTTTTTAGCCTGGAAGTATGCTAGGTCAGCTGAATGAAAGTTCAGAATTAAACAAATTAATGGACTGTCCTTGTTCCCTGTTTTAGCTATTTCATGGTATTTATATCTTGCATATTGCACATAAATTAGACAAACTTCAGATTTAATACATGCGTGAAGATGAAGCACTGATATGCTTTACTAGGGAGATAAGTTACTTTGGAAAACACAAGGTCCAAGAGCTTTTTTTTTTTTTTTTTTTTGAGGTGGAGTCTCACTCTGTCGCCAGGTTGGTGTGCAGTGGTGCGAGCTCAGCTCTCTGCAACCTCCACCTCCTGGGTTCAAAGGATTATACTGCCTCAGGTTCCTGAGGAGCTGGGACTACAGGCACGCGCCACCACGCCCAGCTAATTTTTGTTTTAGTAGAGACGGTTTTACCATGTTGGCCAGGATGGTCTTGATTTCTCCACCTCGTGATCTGCCCACCTTAGCCCCCCAAAGTGCTGGGATGACAGGCGTGAGCCACTGCACCAGGCTCAAGAGTATATATTTTTTTTAAAGAGTTAATTCAGTGTGAAAAATTTAAACACATGCAAAAAAGGGAGATTAAGTATCACATCAAGGATTTAGGGAAGACTTCCAAAATAGAACTGCTAGATAAACAAAAAATAACTCATTTATTAGGTGGTTTTTGTTTTTTGCTGTAATACTCTTGTACCATTTTTAGGTACTTTCTCTATCAATTCAGATGATAAAGTAACACTCCAAAGCCCATGTTCTTTCCCCAACACTGTGGAGGTGGAGTTGTAGCAATAAATGCGAATTAGGTTTTCAGCATTCTGAAATAAGTGCTGTAGTTTTTGAAATTTATTAAAATTTTATGCTCTGTAGTTTATAGTTGGTGGCATTGCAGTTCTTTTTTTTTTTTTTTTTGGAGACAGGGTCTCACTCCATTGCCCAGGCTAGAGTGCAGTCTCGACCTCCCAGCTTAGGTTATTCTCCCACCTCAGCCTCTCAAATAGCTGTGACTACAGGTGCATACCACCATGCCAGGCTAATTTTTTGTACTTTTTGTAGATACTGGGTTTCGCCATGTTTCCCAGGCTGGTCTTGAAATCCTGGGCTCAAGCAATCCTCCCACCTCATCCTCCCAAAGTGCTGGGATTATAGACATGAGCTACCACTCCTGGCTTTAAGTTCCCATAAGTAGGATAGAGTCATATTCCTAGTAGGAGAGTTAAAAATATTTTTGAGGCAAAATTCTTTACCTTAGCTGGGCACAGTGGCTCACGCCTATAATCCCAACACTTTGGTAGGCCAAGGTGGGAGGACTACTTGAGCCCAAGATTTTGAGACCGGCCTGGTCAACATAGCAAGTCCCTGTGTCTACAAAAACTTTAAAAATTAGCCAGGCATGGTAGCTGGCTAGTCCCAGCTACAGGAGAAGGTTAGGAAGGAGGATCACTTGAGCTCAAGAGTTCAAGACTGCAGTGAACTATAATCAGGCCACTGACCTCCAGCCTGGGTGACAGTGAAACCCTATCTCAAAAAAAAAAAAAAAAGCTTACATCTTGGTTAACAAATGAGTTCTCACTCACAGTTTCCAAACTAATGTGCTCTGAAAACCTGTCTTCCATTGAATACAGTCATTGCTTTGGTAGTCTACCTGCCTAAAGTCAGAAGTTGTCCAGGCTTTCTTTTTTCTTTTAATAGAGATGGAATCTGTGGCCTTGAACTCCGTGCCTCAAGCAGTCCTACCTGAGCCTCCCAAAGTGCTTGGCTTACAGGTGTGAGCCACCATGCCTGATCATTATTTTCAAAGTCTGTTGTCCTTCAATAAATTAACATTCTAATGAAAAGAAGAAAAAGAAATGAAGGGGAAAGCCAACATGAAATTCAGTCTAATGGTTCTCAGTGGGGTGGAAGTAGGGGGATGGGCCAGGGAATGAACCCACAGCAGGCACTGAAGTTAGCCAGTGGTTTTATTAAGTTTTAATATTATTCTTTGTAAAAGGTATGACATATTCTCTACATGTGTCAACTATTAAACTCCTAAAGCAATATGGGTGAGGGCAAACATATAGAATATGGCCATGTAATTGAGAGAATGATATATTTGATACAGCAAGCAAGTCACTAAAAATGGTTCATCAGGTTTACCAGGAATCCTAGATGACACAACTGGGCATGAGAATACAATGAACCACTATCCCCTCCCTGGTGGTGGATAGGTCATTACTGGCCTTTCACATTCAAGCCATCTTGCAGCCATGACTAAGGGCTTGCTGTACTGTAGTGTAGGTAGTGCTTTAATGAGATCTGAGTAGTTAATGGTTCTTTACTGAATTGGTTCTAATGTAAGTGGACTAAAATTAAAAGGTGTTTGCTTTTTTTTTTTTTTTTTTTGAGACAGAGCCGCCTCCGCCAGGCTGGAGTACAGTGTGGTGTGATCTCAGCTCACTGCAACCCCCACCTCCCGGGTTCAAGCAATTCTCCTGCCTTAGCCTCCTGAGTAGCTGAGACTATAGGCATGCGCCACCATGCCCAGCTAATTTTTGTATTTTTAGTAGAGACAGGGTTCCACCGTGTTGGCCAGGATGGTTTCGAACTCCTTACCTTGTGATCCACTCGCCTTGGCCTCCCAAAGTGCTGGGATTACAGGCGTGAGCTACCATGCCTGACCACTGTCTGCTTTTTCTACTAGGCTGATCCAAACTTACACTGGGTCAAATTGCCAAATCACTCAGTAGACTGAGCCTCTGATGAGTCTGAGATTGCTTTACACTGTGTAGGTTCACTTTCTCAGAGAAGGAGCAACTGTTTCTAGCAGCTGAATGGAAGAGCAGCATCTTCATCACAGAGTGGTGTGAAACCTATTGCCCATGGTCCTCATGAAGGCCCAGCCCTTGTAGTTTAGTGGAGCCAAGCAAGGGAAGGGCTTATTTCTGTTCACAAGAATACTAGCATGAGAAATGTATAGTCAGCAATTTCCACCACCCTAGCAAAAAGTTTATAATCTAGTAGCTGGCAGAAATGTAACCTGCATAATGATCCTGGTTTAAATGGCCTTGCATTGGAGAATGTGTCCATAATTTGATTTGAATTCTGCAAAACAGTAAATAAGGTAAATAAGGTTATCATTAGTTGCCTAAAAACAAAGTTGCCTAAAACAATTCGGGCTGCACTGAAAAGCATCCTGATTGATCCTTGAATTGTTTAAGAATTATTTCATGGACTTGATTCATTGAGTAAGTGTTTTAGGAGGAAATAATTTTCCCACAAGTGCTGTCCAGCAGTGACTTGGGAAGTACTCAAGCAGAGATGGAGCTATAAAAATTCTTTGCAAGGACAGTTACTGTAATATTGTGCAGCTGCTAAAGGACAAGCTGTGTCAGAACAAGAAATCTGAAAAGGCGCTGAAACCACTAGTAAAAATTCATATTGACTTTATTGACTGCTGAAGTTCAGTCTCATTCATCTTCCAGCCTTCTCTGATACTGTCTTTCTGAGGCTTTTCTACGGTAGACATCATCTGTATCAAACAAAAAATTGCTTAGATTTTTAAGAAACATATTTAAAATTAAAACACTCAATCTGAGTAATTTAACTAATAGTCTAGGTCTACCACTTATTTCTGAATCTCGGCATTAATGTTTAACTCAATGCCAAAATAAATTTAAAGCAAAACTTGAGTTAGATGAGGACTACGTTAATGGAGTTCTAGACCTAAATAGGGTAAAAGTGGGTGTCCTGAAAGATAGAATCATGTCTTAGCACATCTCTTAGCGTTTTAAGATTTCCCTCACTTCCTTCTCCCCATAATTTCAATTCTGTGCTCTGAAGTCATTTTTCTTTCTTTTTTTTTTTTTTT